CTGTAGGTCCGGAGGAGTTCCTTCAGCTTCCAGCATTTTTATCCTTCCAACCAAGGGTCATGAACTTGAACCACGAGAGGGGCTTCACCAACCCTGCACAGGTACAGGAAGGAGGAGGGGGCGCCGTCTCAGACCGGGGACAAGAGTGGGCACAGAGCCCTCAGCCGCCTGCGTGTCTCATGCCAGGCCTGCTGGCCGGGCGGTGCTGTGGACGGAGCTGGGAGGGGGGAGGGGAGGGTGTCTGGAGGGAGGATAAGTTAGTGGGGCTGGGAGGTGTTGCGCCTGGTGAGTCATGAGTGCGTCCCTGTTGGAACCTGACCTCCCCTGCCTTTGAGGAGGGGACACGGGTCCCCCAGTGGGGTTTGCAAGGGAGGGAGGGAGGCGGCATTCTGCCATGAGCTGCTGAGGCATTTGTTTGCAGTCTTTGGCTGATGGGACCAGGCCAGCACAGGAAGGGTGTGGCCTGGACGCTGAAGCCACCAGTGCGACTGGGGAGGGGCAGGATTGACTTTAAGGAGAGGTGGAAGTGAGTGGCCAGGGTTGTGCCAGCACCCTAGGGTGTCCTCAGGGTGACAGCGTGGACTTCCAGATACAAGGTGGGGTGACCTCACTGGAGCTCCAGAGCTGCCCAGCGTGATGGCGTCTGCTCCCATTAGCATCGCTCTGGTTAACAACGAGATCCCAGGAGACTTCCCTCCCTGCCTGCCTTCTGCCAGAGCTTCCAGAAACTGACTGAGTGCCCTAAGCTACAGAACCTCTCACCAACAGGGTCTGCCTTCATTTGCACGGAGGTTTCAGGGGCAGTAGTAGCCCAGGAAGGAGCCCTCCCCGGGGCGCGTCTTGGGTTTGAGTTTGCAAATGGTCAGCTCTTGTTGACTTCTGCAGCAACCGGACCGTGGGAGACCCCACGGAGGCCAGTTCTGTTCTGACCCACACGGGGACACCACGGGTCAGAAACAGCTCAGTGAGTGCTAGGGGGGGCTTCTACAGGCAGTCCCCCATCCATTTGCATTCTTCATTTTGAATCATTCTCGGAGGAAATAAAGTATTTCAGCCACTACTGCCTGGATTTTCCAGGTACCAATGGGGACATCTCCACCTGTCGACCCACAGTGCGTTTGCCCAGCCCACTCAGCATGGTCTTGGGATTTCCATGCACTGTGGCGTGGCTTTGCTCTGGGGTGATTGAAGCTGGTCTCTGCTCTCTTGGGGACTCCACAGGAGGTGATGGGCTTCAGCTTTGTGACCCTGGGCACGGTCCTAGCCAGACTGCAGGTTCCTCCTCATTGCGTTTGTCCAGGTTACCTAGAGAAGCAAACCCAGAGACACTCATATGTGTCCAATAGAGAACTTTATATCAAAGAGCAATTATATATGGAGAAAACATCCCAGCCAGGTCGGATCAAGTCTGTAATTCCGATAATAGCCCATATGTCCGATACCAGCTCGTAAATTCCTCTTTAGACTTAATCAACATATGCAATGATGCTGAATGCAGGAAGATCACAGACCAGAGGGTAAAAAGTCTTGTGGATCCAGTGGCAGTGGAAGCATCTCAGCGCTGGCATGGGTTTCCACATGGCTCCTCCAGCTCCAGGGCTCCAGTGTAGCCCCATGTGTCTTGTCAGCAGGAAGATCAAGCAGAGAGTGTGGGTCTGGCCTCCAGTGAGCTCTTTATCTGTCACGGCCCCAAAGGAGACCATCAAGCTGTGACCTGATGAAACCAGGCTAAACTCCACCCCTTTACTCTTCATAGTCTCAAGGTGATACCAGATTATGTAACTACCACACCCACCAAGGGGCAGTGGGGCTGAGGTGACTGGAAGGAGGCCCTGGCACCTCTGCTCCCACCAACTTATCTCATGCATGGATTGGTTTCAGCCTCGGTGACCGACATGCTGACAGTGGGCGAGACTGGCATCCTCTCTCCTGCCCTTGCCTCTGCCCCTCCCTATTTGTTGAGGGCTTGTGCTGGGGGTCCTGCTGGGGAGTGCTTATGCGTTGGGCTCTGATCAGACAGGCCAGCTGTTCAAAACCACCAGCTGCTTCTCAGAGAAAGACAGGGCTTCCTACTCCTGTAAAGCGTTACAGCCTCAAAACCCCACAGGAGCCGCCCTGCTCCGTTGCTGAGTCAGCATCGACTCCATGGCAGTGAGCTTGGCTTGGTGTGTCTTTGATGATGGATGTGGGGTTCGGTGACTGTCACAGCTGTCCCCTCCCTCGTGTGTGTGTGTGTACTGGGGTGTGTAGTGCGTGAGTGTGTGTGTGTAGTGTGGTGTATGTGTGTGTGTGGTGTATGTGTGTGGTTGTATGTGTATTATGTATGTGTGTGGTATGTGTTTGTGAGTGTGTGTGTGGTGTGTGTAGTGTGTGGTGTGTGGAGACCCGGCTCAGGGTCTCCAGTGGGAGCGCAGGAGTCAGAGGGGCATCAGCAGAGGAGGCGGGGCTGAGGAGACGTGTCCAGGGTTAGGAAGTGGGCCAGGTAGGCAAGGATTCTGTCAGCCTGACACCATCAGTGTCCAGCAGGTGACCTTGCCTCTGGGGACCTCATGGCCTCTGTGAATTGGGGAAATGATTTTGACCTCAAAGGGCTCTTGTGAGGCAAACCCAGGGTCATGTATGCAAACCATGTGGAGGAGCT